TGAAGACTAAGTTATATGTAACACCAAGTAAATTATATAATAATTACGAAACACCCTCAAACTCAACCCACATATAAATTATATAGTCTAAATTATATTACGATAACAAAAGTCGCCGTCATGCACCGAATAGTTAAAAAATCGGTTAAACTTAACAGTTAAGCAACAAAACTGTACAGTTATCTTTGATACTTTCACGTCTTCAGTCTTATTCGCTTTATTTCGAATTACTTATGTAGGTATGAACTTCCTGCTGTTATTTACCGTAACTATTCTTGTATAATCGATGTACTACTACTATTCTAAAAAAAAAAGATGTAAACATAATTTTATAGCTCAAACACTTCACGATTGTTACATCTACAGCTTTAATTATATTTATTTAATGAAATTTAATAGCTTACGCCATACATAACATGTCACCATCAGTCACTATACTCTTCCTAAATCTAAGTTTTATTAATTATGTTTTATTATAGTGATGTACAATGCTATTTGAAAAGAGTGAGAGAGAATATATTGTTCTTCTTGAACAGTTCTTCTTTGATCGAACGAAGTACTTGTGGACATGTAATTAGATAAGGAGAAATACGGTTGCATACCTGTATTTTTACCCTTATTTTTCTTCTATAAAAGAGCAACACACAAGTTTCTTGCTCATTTTTCTTGTGATGTGAGTGGTAAAATAAAAAAAAAATGTGACTATTGAAAAGTGCTTATATTAAGTTTATTTGAGTAAAGATTATTTCTACTCTATTCTATTCTCATAGAATACCGCAGTCTCATCTAAGGCCGAACAAGTATAATAATTGAATGGTAAAATTTATGACGGTCAATGGTATAGCGGTTTAACGCACAGCCTTACTTCAGTGGTCGCGGGTTCGTTTCCTCGCATGATACAAACATGTATTAATGAGTATGATTGTGTAATTTAAGTATTATTAAATAACACAGATATTATTAGAGTATTTGATTGAATTAGTGATAATTGGTAGTTTGTATTCACACACTTCAACTTAAAAATGTAAAGTAACAATAAAATTATTCAAAAGAGCAACACGCAAGTTTCTTGCTCGTTCTTCTTGTGATGAGACAATTCCGAATGAGCGGTAGATTAAAAAACAATGTGCTGAACATTCAAAAGTGCTTCAATGTAAGTTTATTTGAATAAATGACTTTCTATTCTATTCTATTCTAAAAATATTTAAGTATTACTATGTAATATTATATTATCTATGGTATTACTATCAGATGTCTAGTACCTATAACACAAACTCTGCTTAGCTTGGTACTAGACGGCTCTATACAATTGTTCTGTGTTAATATTATTATTATTATTATAATTAATATAATGCAACATCTTTACTAACCGGAAATTTATATACTTATACATTTACCAGTCAGATTGGACCTTGGGCAAGGTATTCAAGGCCTTATACAGCACCTTGTACTTGTAGATCATTAAACAGTGGTCACTGTCATGTGACATAAACGTGACGTCATAGTTTCTCTTGCACCATGAAATTGAAGTTTGTAAACGATAATGATGTTTTTTTGTAGAAAAAACTTAAAATTCATTGACTGACAATATTATCTGATTGCACTAAGAATGAGCGCGTAGCGATTTCTATGTTGATTATCGCATGCCTCTTACTTGTTACTGTGTAATTATTTGTTTAAAAAAACATATTCAAAACAGCAACACATAAGTTTCATGCTCATTCTTCTTGTGATGAGTCTGAGTTCCGAATGACTGGTAGAATAAAAAATATGACTATTCACAAGTGCTTGTATTAAGTTCATTTACCTATTACTGTGTAATTATTTATATTAAAAATCTATTCAAAAAAGAAGAATGAGCAAAAACTTGTGTGTTACCAACACAAGTTTTTGCTCATTCTTCTTGTAATGAGTCTGAGTTCCGAATGAGTGGTAGAATAAAAAATATGACTATTCAAAAGTGCTTATATTGAGTTTATTTGAAGAAAGATTATTTCTATTTTATGTTGCGACATGTCCCAAAATTCGTCAACGATTAAGCTACAAAGAATACAGTAAATTAGAAAATCCATTAGCAAACGGAAGTGTACATTCACTCTAAGTAATTTGCAGCCGACATTATTCTCTATTAACACTAGAATTCATTCGCCTTTTAATATATATTTTGTACTTACAAACTAGCTGACCCGCGCAATTTTCCCTGCATCACACTTACTTGACATTTAACATTATATTTCGCCCAATTCACATAATATCTTTTTAAATTATTACCTATGTGTTATTTTGATGTATAATCTATATTACTGTAAAGTTTCATCGTAATCCGTTCAGTAGTTTTTGCGTGGTATAGTTACAAACTTCTATCCATACTAACAAACTTTCACGTTTATTATTATTAAAAATCGTATTGAATAAAGCTTATTACTCTGTAAACTAACTGTGATTTATGTGATGATATGATGATATGTGATGTGATGGTATGATGTGTGATGTTATTTATGGGGAGTATGGTGTTAATTAGAGAAGAATATGGTTCTCTGAATAGATATAGAAGGAACACTTGAAGAATACATCGTATTTTAATTGTGTGAATACACTTATCTTAATAATTTATGGTGTTTCTTTTATTAATTTGTAAAATTATAAAATAAAAAATATACTTTCTACTACGTTTCTTGCCAGTTCTTTCTGAAAGTTCTAACTGAAATAGTTAGCTGAACTGCAAGGTATGGTAATAAAAAATATATCTTACATATGAGACAGTTTTATCAGATCGCTTTACATCCCTGTCGCGGATTCGATTCCTCGCGCGACGCAGAATGTTATGTTCATAAATATATTTGTTTGTATCCGTTTTGGTAGTTTCTATCCAGTCTATGTTTAATTTACTTTAACTTCCACGATACAAGCGTGACCTAGTGTGGGGTTATAGATAAAATACTTAAGTTATCCAAAATAAGAGTTATTTTTATTCTAATAATAATATTTACAAAATAAATTATTTAAGTATATACTTATAATGAAAGTTCTGTATAGCTTGGTACTGGATGGCGCTGTGTCCTGATGAATAGTCTATGGTTATTATCGTCTTATTACAATTATGATAGATATTTGTCCAAACTCGAATAGAAAAAAATTGTTCACGCCAATGTGCTAATCTGAGTAGTTCATAGCTATAATAACGTTTGCAAACAAATTGTTAAGAGTTCAAATTGAAATTAAACACTCCTATTTGTTGTATAAAAAAGCAAAGCTATATTCAGAGTCTAATTACTGCTAGTTGGTAGTTTGTATTCATAATTGTCAACATATGAATACAAACTACCATATTCATAAGTTGACAATTATGAATATAATATAAACTACTATACAAAAAATGTAAAGTTACAATAATTATTTAAAAGAGCGACACGCAGGTTTCTTTCTAGTTCTTCTTGTGATGAGGCAGCTTACCGAATCAGTTGTAGGTTAAAAAAAGTATGACTATTCAAAAGTTTCTAAATTTAAGTTTATTTCAATAACTACCTTCTATATTCATCACAAGTTCACCCGCATACGGAGTACTGCTCTCGTCTTTGGGCAGAAGCACCTGGATACCAGCTCGGTCATTTTGACTCGGTTCAGAGACGTGCTATGAGAATTGTCCATGATCCCGATCTCTCTGGTGATATTGGACCATTTAGTTTGAGGCGAGACTTCGCATCGCTTTGAGTGTTATACCGAATATAATAAATCATTACATAGTATAACACAAAGTCGTTCTCGCTGTCTGTCCGTCCCTATGTATGCTTAAATTTTTAAAACTACGTAACGGATTTTTATTCGGAATTCGTGCGAAGCCGGGCGAGTAGCTAGTAATAATAATAAATAACCCTGGACAATTATTAGCTATGCCAATGCTATTTAGTCCCACGGTAAGTAGAGCTTGTGTTATGGGGACTAGGCAACTGATACATAAGTTTTTTTTGTAAATACATACATAGTATACATAGAAAACACCCAGACCTATACAAACAATCATACTCATGAATACAAATGTATGCACCATGCGAGAAATCGAACCCGCGACCATCGGAAATAAAGCGGTGTGCTAACCGCTGGACCACCGAGGCCGTCAAATATACAACTGTGTTCTGAAGAATTGGTCGATATGATGCCCACGGCTACCTTTTACCATTGCACCGCTCACCATCGTTAGGGAACTCATCTTCACACGCTGGAACCTACGTAGTCTCGGACAGTGTGGTTTCGGAGGAGCTTCCTCCCGCGTACACTTACATAGTAGAAGGAACTACCTGCCGAGGTTTTCTCACGAGGTTACATCATGAGGTTGTTCAAGAAGAGTATCTTAAAGTTTCTTAAAAACATTAGGAATGTTTTAGTCGTCTATAGACTATGATAAACGTTTACCATCAGATGGGCCGTATGCTTGAATGCCACCATAGTGGCATAAGAAACCCCATGCAGGGGACTCTTTAGATACCTTTCTACCTCTCTATAGATATTTAAGATTTTTACTATAAAATCATGGGATTGTTGCTAGGTGCTATATTCCATCATACAATCCAACACAAACATATATGTATGTACGAGTATGATGTATCTCCAATAATAAAACATATCAGTGAATCTTGAAACACATTATGCGAACACCAAATCAGCTAATAGCAAATATTTGGCGATTAAACACAGTAATTGTAGGCCTAAGCAACCTCAGGGTCGGTATTTGATGACACTGTCGCAATTCGACGATTTGTTCAATTTTAACAATGTTTGTTTTATTTTTTTTTATTGGAAGGTTTGGGCTATTGTCAGGTGGAGAAATCTGTAACACTGCTACCTGAATAGATCTATTGTGCCCTAATTCAAAGTTCCCAAAGAGAACCGCATGGAGATCAACCTGACATGGTAAATTACTAGTATTGGGGTCAACAGTCCACATTACTCACTCCCCTCTTTCCCTATTTTAGTGTATTACAAAACCTATTTCTTGTCCACAGATACAACAACCTTAAAACGGATGTAGACAAGAGTACCCTTCAGAGATGACAATGGGGCACAGACAATACTTGGCGGTGGGCCAGTCGGCCAGCAACCGGCTATTCGGCCTGCCCCGCCTGTCCAGAGACAAGCAGATACCTCTCAACATGCTGATATCACAACAAGGCAAAATAAACCATGGTAAGTACACTTAGAGTATATAATTCAACGAGCCAGCAAATTTATACCCGTGGTATTCGGTGCAAGAATTGCGAAACTGAAGTGGCAATAGGCAGGGCACATAACTCGTAGGACAGATGGCCGTTAGGACGTAAAGTCCTTGAGTGACGACCGTGGATCGAAAAACGCAGCGTGAAACCTTCGACAAGGTAGACCGACGATCTGATCAAGATCGCTGGAAATCATTGGATGCGAGCAGCGCAGGAGATTTTTGGGTGAAGCCTTTTTTTAGCAGTGGACGTCTTCCGGGCTGAAACGATAATGATGATGTTGATTCGGTGAAACAGAATAAAATAAAATTTATTACATTCTGTTCAAGTAGGTCCGGAAGATCCCGCCTGAAATTAAAAAACAAATAATTATAAGTCTCCGCCTGTTTGAACTCAGTTAAAAAACAATACAACCCACTGACACAAATGTGCAAACATTCAATTGCATATTTGATAATGCGCAGTTATAGTATGCAATTTTTATTCGCAATTGCAACATTATCCGTTTGTCCAAGTCCAAGTTAGGAGCTGTAGCGTAGCTGTACCTATTTTCTTTATTCGAACATTGGCGGCGCCTTCTGACATTTTATATATTTAATTTAAAAAAATATCAAGAATGCTAGTTTTTTTTTCGAGTATCGATCCAACTAAAATCAGCGTTGCAGTGACACGCTGCGGCACCAGCTGAGTACAGCCCTTTTAGCTCATAGCGCGATATTAGTTTTTAAGTTCTTCTCTATTTTTCACTCTGTATTATGTTATACCGAATGTATAATTATTCTTATTATATTATACAGTAAAATCTATCAAAATTGGCCGGTCAGTCTAACATTATAGAGAGAAAGCGCGAAGCCAGTCGCGCAATCACGTACGAATTTTTGAAATATTTAAAATAAAAAAAGTGGAATACTCAAAATAAACGCAAAATATCTACTAAAACGAATAAAACATCTACATCCTCTGAGATTTTATAATATTTTTCATACATGTACATTAAAATAGAGTATCTACTTAAGCCTATTTTATAAAGTCAATTTGTCTTCTGTTTGTGGTCAATCCTTTTTGATCTTCAAAAACTTAACATTCTTAAATGCGGTTAAAATTAATAATTAATTTGAAACAAGCGGTTAAAAGCCTTACAACAATCAGTTATCGTATCTATAGATAAGACCAAGCGCAAACGGACAACAAAATTAATAAAAATAAATCGCATTTCGCTTCTCTTTAAACCACTCAGCAAGCGGCCAGCAGTTAACCATTTTGTCGAGGTTGATTTCTTCGTTAAATTCCTTACAAATACATATATAATTACAAGTCGTTTATAATACCACCGCCTCTATTGGACGGTGGTTTATCGCGACTACTTCACGAATCTGTGGTCCAGGGTTCTGTATTGTGTATTTTAATTTTAAGAGCAGACTTTTTGCCGCTGTTGGTTATAAATGTTATATCATGTTAACTTATTAAATTCCACACAATAATGTAATAGTTATTTTTAAAGTGTTTAATATACATTATTTAACGACAAATAAAGTGTTTACCTCTCTCGAGAGAGAGAGGGAGGTAAATACCTTTATTTCATATAAAATTAGTTCGTATTAAGACCCGGTTAATAATATAAATAATGCACACAATAATTATTGTATTATTAATAGCACAGAGCACCTCTGCTCTCTTCAACAAAAAAATATCAAATTCATTCATCAAAATTCATCATCATCATTTTCTCTAATTACAATTACCGGAACCAGTTCTGATTTGTAAGACATCATAAATTACGTCACAGTTTAAGGAGAAGATTGAGGAAGATGTTGTGGGAGGAGTTTTAAACTCTGAGACGTCACAGTTCAAAATATAATATATGTTTATAATTATTAAAACAAAATTTGAAGTAATAACGAAGTACTTAAAAATCTATACATATAAATATAATGAAGTGTCTGTTTGTTGTAATGTCCAAGATATGTCAGTAAGAATAGTTTTGCGTGATATTTCTCTGTTCAAATTCATAATATCTGCCTTCATGTAGGTCTATTACAGACTCTTATGATATGTCAAATCTACCGTCAGTTCGGAATGATGTCGAGATGAGAAGAACTGACAAGAAACACAACTTGCATTCTTTTCAAATAAATGTACATGTTTACAATAATACAGATTCATTTTTAAATTCAAATATTCTAACGAACTTTTTGCCACACACAACCACATTGTGGAATCACCTTCCAGCACTGGTATTTCCGAACGGATACGATATTGAAACCTTCAAGATCTTATTCCTTTTTATAAGGCCTACAACGTACTTGCAATTCCCCTGGTGTTGCGGGTGCTCATGGGCGGCGGTAATCACTTACCATCAGGTGAGCCGCATGCACGTTTGTCCCCTGTACTATAAAAAAAAATTAAACACATTCACAATTTCTTCACATGTTTGAAATAAATTTATATAAAGCCTTGAATAGTGTGGGCCTTGATAAGATCTCTTCTTGCAACTAGCGAATCTCGTCAGTCTGTCTAGTCCATGTGTCCTATATTTAAATACACATACACACACACGGATATACATGTATTATACATATAAACCATCCTCTAGAATGACTTTATCTATTTAAAAAAACCGCTGCAAAATCCATTGCGTAGTTTTAAAGATTTAAACATAGGGACGGACAGGTAGCGACAGCGACTTTGTTTTATATTATGTCGTGATAATTCAAATCTTCATCTCCATGCCCCTTGAATATTGCCATCCTTATATTGAAATTCAAATTCAAATTCAAAAATCATTTATTCATGTAACACATTTTAGCTACTTGTGAACATGAAATTTTTTATATTATATTTTTTTCCCTAACATCAAATTCAAATACAAATTCAAATTCAAAAATCATTAATTCATGTAGGACATTTTAGCCGCTTATGAACGTCAAGTTTTTACATTATATTTTTTTTCCCTACCGTCCAGTTCGGTATATAGATCCAATCGAGAAGAACTGGCAAGAAACTCAATTGAATTACTTTTTTTATAGCCTCATATGAACCAATAAAGAATCTTATAAAACCAACGTTTTTCATTAATGCAAAAAAAATCTTACGAAGTAATATTAAATGCTATGCAAATATAGTTATTGGCTTTTTAGATAAATAAAAAAAATATTCAAAGGTCACTGGCAACACTGACGAAACATAATTATAATATATAGTAGCTTTCTTTAAAATTTTAAATGAAGTACATATCAATATTCATTAGAAATGATTAGAATATGTATATAGTTTTTAAACATCGCATATTTAGTAGACAGATATCTATATACATATAAATAAAATTGGCGTGTCTGTTTGTAATATTGAAATAACCGTTTTTTACTACATGCATATGAATATAAATACGGTACATACACCAAAAATGTTTTTCCTAAAATAAAAGTAACCTAAGTTACTCCGTATTATATCAGATACCTGCCAAAAAAAAGTCCCGTTAAAATCGGTCCAGTCATTTCGGAAATTAGCCGGAACAAACAGACAGACAAAAATTATAAAAAATGTTATTTTGATGTATATACCGTGTTTATATTCATATGTATGTACTAAAAAGCGGTTATTGCAATATTACAAACAGACACTCCAATTTTATTTATATGTATAGATAAAAAAATCTCGTGATATTATATAGCTAGTCTTTATATATAAAAATTATGTGTCACGTTGTGTGTCCGCGATAGACTCCTAAACTACTGAACCGATTGCAAATTTGATTTGCACATTGTGTGCAATATGATCCAACTAGAAAGATAGGGTAGCTTACATCTTAATTTACAGTCGCAATAATATTTAAATAATAAAATAGAATTTAGAACTTCACTAACCAGATTAGTGGATTAACAAATTACCATTCTCAAATTGTTTGGAACGGGTGTCGAACCCGGGTACCGGAAAGTAGGCAACATTTATTACCACTGCGCTATCAAGGTCGAATAGCGTGATAAGTGTAAGTCATTAAGGTAAGTGGGCCAAGGGCCGAATTCCGAGTGTTAAGTTCCGCCCAATAACTTAATTGATATTTAACACATAACATATATTTTCCTATTATGTAATCTATACGAGATTGCCTGCATCCGTATCTCCATCCTGAACGTTTTTTTGGAAACGTGGGTCAGTCAAATATCGACCTAGTAATGTCTAATTACTAGGTTGGTATTTGACTGACTGTCTGTACAAAATCGTGGGTACCATACGGGTTTTATTGCCAGTCAAATACCGACCTAAAAATGTAATTATTATGTCGATATTCGACTGACTCTATGTACTACATACTGGCTACCGTACGGGGTTCGTTGCCAGTCAAATACCGACCTAGTAATATATAGCTACTAGGTTGATATTTGACTGACTATGTACAAAATCGTCACAAAATCATGGGTACCGTACGGGGTTTGTTGCCAGTCAAATACCGACTTAATAATATCTATTTACTAAGTCGATATTTGACGGACTCTATGTACAAAATTGTCACATAATCGTGGGCACTGTACGGGGTTTGTTACCAGTCAAATACCGACCTAATAATATGTAATTACTAGGTCGATATTTGACTGACTCTATGTACAAAATCGTGGACATCGTACAGGGTTCGTTGCCAGTCAAATACCGACCTAAAAATATTTCATTATTAGGTCGATATTTAACTGACTCTATGTACAAAATCGTCTACGTCGCAACTTGCTTTGTAATTTGTATTCCTGATATTCGCCCCGGCGCGGCGGCACACACCGCCTTACTAATACCGACCTAAAAATATTTCATTATTAGGTCGATATTTAACTGACTCTATGTACAAAATCGTCTACGTCGCAACTTGCTTTGTAATTTGTATTCCTGATATTCGCCCCGGCGCGGCGGCACACACCGCCTTACTTCCGATGGTCGAAGGTTTGATTCCACGATACGAACATTTGTTTTCATGAATATTTGACA